GGATAACTGTTAGTTTTATAATAAGGTATGTAAGTTTGTGGATAACTGTTAGTTTTATTATCTTTATAATAAGGTATGTAAGTTTGTGGATAACTGTTAGTTTTATTATCTTTATAATAAAGTATGTAAGTTTGTGGATAACTGTTAGTTTTATTATCTTTATAATAAGGTATGTAAGTTTGTGGATAACTGCTAGTTTTATTTTTTGTTTTCAGGTTTCCGGATCCAAGTTCTGGCAAGTGGAACGATCGTGTATGTGTTGTCAGGAGATGGGAGAACGTGAGGCTGAGATTACAATTTTTTGCCCTAATCCAAAAAAATCTCCTTTCCGTAAGGTAATTACCCGTGCCCCCGTGGAATGCATGTGTCGCCCCTGCACAGCAGTAGACGATAAGTTAATCCACCCGCAAGAGGTCGCTGAAAAACAAGTAAAACAAGAATGAAGAAGTATCTCTAGCTAACGAAATCTTTGCTTATAAATCAGTAGTTTACCAAAGTTTGGTTAACAATGATTGTAATGAGTGTTGAATAAAACTGTAGCTTGTATTACTACAGTTGTGTCTTCTATGGTTTCAGGATAAATATTGTTACTTTTATTAATTTATTTTATCAATTATTATCCAATCACAAACCTGAACAAGTAGAAGCAACAATACTCCCCCTAAACGATTAATTCTGTTACAACAGGTTAGCAGATTTCTTTAATATGACATCACTGTTCCAGTGTAAGGTGTTTGTTTTGTTATGAATTTCGCGCATAGCTACACGAGGGCTATCTGCGCTAGCCGTCCCCAATTCAGCAGTCATAGACTAGAGGAAAGGCCACTCACCGCCAACTCTTAGGCTACTCTTTTACCAACGAATAATGGGCTTGACTGGCTGAAAGGGAGAGTATATATGGTGACAGGGATTCGAACCGGTGACTTGCACATAGTGAGTCGAGCGTCCTAACCACCAGGACATGCTAGGCCTAAAACAAATGTGAAAAGAGTGTATTTAATTATTGACGAATCTACTATCCCAGTTGTGAGAGGAATCGAAACCCGGATTATAGAATTGTTAGCCCGGAAACTTATCGCTGACTCGCCAGATGGAATGCGGGTTTGTATTTTGATAAAATTAAATTTTATAAGATTAGAATTATTTCAGTCAGTTGTTTCACAAGTAAGCTTTTCTTGCCCTAACTTTATACGATCAATCCAAGAGAAAGCAAGTTTAGGCTTAGAAAATAAGTATGGCGTCTAGTTGAACTCGAGGTCTTTACGTCTACAGTGTTTGTTATCAGCCATCCTAATTCATCACAACATTCGGATTTATTCTTCCTTTGCCAACACATAAGCACGAACAGGTTTATGTGAAAGGAAGTAACTATATGATAGTCAGTAAGAGGTTATCTAGAAGTATGGATACACAATAGACGAAAGCAGTGACATGGTTCTGTAAAACATACCCTAATTCTTTAATAAAACTTACGAACAAGGAAGCTTTTAAACAAACTGCACGTGGTGCATTATTACAACAACATTGTTACGTCTCTGGTCGTTTGTTAATTTACCGTAACAATTATTTCCGAAGAACTTCAGCGATACAAGTCCTTTCTTAAATAAAATTAGTTTATTCTTTCTCAATACAACTTTGCAATACACTTAATTTCCACAGTCACATTAACTTAAACATACGCTATAATTCACAACGATTCACGTACTTTACTTACAACTTGACTCGATTATCTGTCTCTATATCTCCCTATCTGCAATTTTTATCTCCGCTTTATTTGCCGGGCTTATATACTAAAAATAGAGGGCGTCTGGCAAAGACTAGAGTTCCCAGGAACAGTCATGGTCCTTCTAGAAACTCATGACGTGTTACTAGCATCACGTGACTTCCGCTGTCGTAACAATAAAAAAAAAAACAAACGAACAAACAAATCGAAGTATTACATCTATAATCTTCATGAATCAGAGTTTTGTAGTCTTTTTTCTACCTATTTTATTGTAGTATCGCTTAACAGTGAACAGAGCGTTTATTATAACAATTGTTATGATGTAAATACCTGTTCTAAGCTGTTTAGCCATGATTATAATTAAGTATGTTTATCATAAGACATTAGGCTTATATTATATTATAGACCTCAGGTAGCTTTGTGCGAAATTTAAAACAAATCCTTAGGATTTTTTAAGAAGAGTGGATAATAATAGAAGTTCAATTGCACTTTGTATGCCATATCCATATTATTATGACAAAAATAATTAATTACAATCATTAATTGTCAGTTTAGAAAAGGCTTTCTGACCATAACAGTTGTTTTTATATTAAATAGTATCTCCACCACTGCTGTGTATATTATATCCCAGCCAGCCTGATGAGCTCTGTATTGAATAAAACGCGTCATCAACAATGGATATAATGGAAAAACCGTCATATATTCTTCTTGCAAGACTAGATAAAGAAATAGTGTTAAAAATATAACAAGCCTAATAGCAAGAGCGTTTGTTAGAATTGACTTATATTTTATAGGAATTCACCAAATTGTTTCCAAATTACAAAACGAAACGTGATTTTATTGCAGCTGTGATATCTTATATTCTATATCTTTTGCTAAAAAGTGAACATGAACTAATGTTTTATTTATTTTTTCGGTTACAAACTGTTATTATATTTCACAGGCATAAATAAGAAAGTATTTTAATGTTCATTTTATAGTGGCGCCATCTATTGGAAGCATTCATAATTTTTAGCAGTAATTATTCTCAATTTTCCAAAATTAAATTAACAAGTACAATTCTATTCAATATTTGGCCACTGTATATGATTTTAATTTCTGTATGGAGAGGAGCTAAATGCTCCAAAAATATTGAAAGTTAAAAAAAAGAAACTTTCAAAATATAGAAAGATTTTGTTCTGACGACATCTATTTATTTTACAAATGCATTGATACGATATGATATTTTTATGGGTTATTTTGTATCATTTTATTGTTTTTTGTTCACTAGAGGGATATTGTTTTAGATCAGTAATTACTGGCGAATTCTAAAATTTAATGAAAGCCGAGGCGTCTGTAGGATTTGGAAGCTTCCTGTAGTAAGTATAAAACAAGAATAATATGAAAATGCTAGGCTGAGTTAATCAGTATTTAGTTCGGTGTCATTTAGTGAGTTACACAATGAGCGTTATTGAATCTGTTCATCTGTAATGCAGATAATAAGTTAAACAATCAGTCAGTCAACGAGGAAATTCTTGCAAGTCAGGCGTACATTAGTTTGGAATTTCTATTGAAACGTTTTTAAAGTTAGGCCTACCAGTGAATGTAGTCCATAATAAACATTACGTAAGAAATATATTAATTATTTATCATTAACTGGACCGAACTTTGCATTATCTTTACCAAATAATCCAAAAGAGCATGTTACAACAATATTTTTAGTAAAAACCACTCCTCATTAAATATGATTTTAAATCAGAATTGTTGAGATTATAGACTGGTCTGAGGATGAATCTTAATTTTAAAAACTGTGCTATAGGACCTAATATTATTCTGAATAAATGCTTTTTCTAATTCTTAGTCTCACCTGATTAGCAAATTGGTAATAAATTATTTGAAAAGATTTAACTAACTGCATTAAATAGTAAGCTGCTTTATTTGACCTGGTCAAGTTTAGTACTTAGTAATTTGTTTGAACCATTGTTAAATGTTTGGATGTTTGTTTCCAAAGTAAACATATTTGACCTAGTCAAGTTTAGTATTTAGTAATTTATTTGAACCATTGTTAAATGTTGGATGTTTGTTTCAAAAGTAAACATAAAACAATAAATAAGTGAAAAGTATAAGAAAAACGTCAAAGATTAATTACAGCGTACGCCAGGCTGCTTTTCCTTCATTATGCTGAAATACGCACACTTTGTAAAAAATAAAAGCTATAGCAATAAAACGAAAGTATCACCTAAACAAAAACTTAAACATTGAACAACTGTTTCTAAAACAATTCTACGAGACATAAACATAATTACCTGTTTACAGAATCAATGTATTGGTTGTGTTTCGATATGAAACCGAAATCTAATGCTTGGTTTATAAAATGCAGTGGCGATGGTTCAATATGAAACCGAAACCTATTGATTTTGGGCGCTCCATCTTCTTTCGGCTTTTAAACCGTAATTTTTAGGTTATATGACGTAATTAGGAGAACACGTTCTGGCACGTGTGAAATATGGATGGATTTGGGATATCTTACACTTACCACAGAGCCACTTGATAAATCGGATATACTTCGTCGATTTCTTCCTGGACATTATGGAACATGGTTTGGATTATGTTAGTTAGGCCTACTACATAGTGTTATTTATTATTTTAGTAAGGCCTACTACATAGTGTTAGTTATTATTTTAGTAAGGCCTACTACATAGTGTTGTTTATTATTTTAGTGAGGCCTACTACATAGTGTTGTTTATTATTTTAGTGAGGCCTACTACATATTGTTATTTATTATGTTAGTTAGGCCTACTACATAGTGTTATTTATTATGTTAGTTAGGCCTACTACATAGTGTTATTTATTATTTTAGTGAGGCCTACTACATAGTGTTATTTATTATTTTAGTAAGGCCTACTACATAGTGTTATTTATTATTTTAGTAAGGCCTACTACATAGTGTTATTTATTATTTTAGTAAGGCCTACTACATAGTGTTATTTATTATTTTAGTGAGCCTACTACATAGTGTTATTTATTATTTTAGTGAGGCCTACTACATAGTGTTATTTATTATTTTAGTGAGGCCTACTACATAGTGTTATTTATTATTTTAGTGAGGCCTACTACATATTGTTATTTATTATTTTAGTGAAGCCTACTACATAGTGTTATTTATTATTTTAGTGAGGCCTACTACATAGTGTTATTTATTATTTTAGTGAGGCCTACTACATAGAGTTATTTATTATTGTTTCAGAAAACTGGTCTAACATAGGTAACAGCTAGTGTAGCTACTTTTCGTAAGAAATTAGTTAAAAATTAAATAATAAAGAATGAAGTTATTGAAATATTTGGTGTGTTCTTGTTCGAAGTTAAGCCACTGGAGAGCATATCTGGTGTGCCGAATGAATAATGAGCCATTAACGTCATACATGTGAAACGTAATCAGAGGGCAACAATTTTTTGAGAAACGAATTTCAAGGTAAAGGGGAAAAAATATTTTGGTATTCGTTGTAATTTATGGAAACAACGACACGCTATCAAAACACACCCAATTATGGGAATAATATTTATTTATATCTATCGATATATAGAAATGGAGTAGAATATGTATTTTAAATGCGAAAATAGGTCGCTGAAAGAAGGTCGGGGGCCCCTGGTGTTTTTGTTTTTAATAAATAATGTTTATAAATTTTTTGACTAAACTTTTTTAAAAATCTCTTGCTGAAGGTGAAAAACAACAATTGTAGCGCCATCTATTGACTAGAAAACATATTTAACCAATCTAATAGTTTGTGGTATTGGATATCTAAACAATCTAAAGTACATATAGTTGTCTCCGGTTGAAAATCATATTTAAGAGATATTCTTTT